CTGTGATCTTGGCCTCACACTGTTGAGTAAGACCTTTGTACATTGAGTCTCTTGTGTGGCTGCCCTCTGTTCATTCTACTGTGACTCCGTGGTATCTAAATCTGGTTCTCTCTGCACTTCAGAAACTGCTATTTGAACCCATCAGAGACTTTACTCTCCACGCTTGGTCACAAGGTCACATCAACTCTGCAAAGCGAGTGACTGATCTGGCGGCCTTATTCTGCAAATAGCCTTCTCTGGTTTTGCATAGAGACAAGATGGTGTTGAGGCCTTGGATTTTCTTCTTGCCTAAAGTAGTTTCTGCCTGTTACCTCAGCCAGGGTACCGTTCTTCCATCCCTCTGTCCAGTCCACCCAAAGTAAATTTCACTCCATTGCCTTGATATGTTTTGGCCTGTGAGAGTCTGTCTCTCTAGCCACTGCTTCAGAAAAACTGATTCCATTTTTGTAATTCCATAAGCTTTCACTGGCACCATTTTTAAGGTGGCTCAGACAGACCATCATCCAAGCTTATTGTCTTTTTACAGAAATAGTGTGCAGATACGGTGCTCCTTCTCTGTCAAGGTGTCTGCTTGATCTCTAAGTGCTTTATTGGCTTTTCCGAACTGGGCAACTGTTTCTCAGATTTCCAAGGTTGCCATCTGGTCTTCTGTTCATGGAGTTCCCTATGTTCTACCAGGTGAATGTTGAGGCCTCATCTGATACCAGCTTCTGTTTTTTTCATGGGGCTCTTCCAGGCCAGCTTTTATACAGCAGTTCATTTATTTTCGATAGTAACTGTTTTGCCATCTGTTTATTTTAGAATACCATGTACAAAAAGAAAAACTGTCTGTGCATCCTCTTTAAATAACTATTTTTCAATAGATGGCAAATGGTGCTATTAGTTCCACATTGACTGTTTGTTCTGTTGGCATGGCAAGTGTTTTCAAACTCTCTAGTGCTATAGCATATTGATATTTGTTTGCTGTATCTAGGAAACACTTAATTAAAGAACTTCCATATTTGGAATGTTAAAACAGTTCGGAAGACTGGCCAGTTTTCAAGAAATTAATTTATGCTTCTTAACCCTTTAAAACACAATATATGTTCCAGGTAACTTCACATAGTGCGTATTCCATAGAAATATGCATATATAATTTACACAAAGGGTTACCTATTTAAGAGAATTTAATAACAGGTAATCACATTTTAGTATGTTGGCTAATTAGCCAGTAGTCAGTAAACCAGGACACCATCTCATATGGTAATGCGACTGCAGATTGGCTAAAATTGTCAAATCTGCCACATCTGCTTCCTGTGAATTGCCAAAGCCAGCAAGTATCAGGTTGGCCACATTATTATTATTATTATTATTATTGTTTTTATTATACAGTATTTATATAGTGTCAACAGTTTGTGCAGCGCTTTACAATATAAGGAAGACATTACAATCACAATACAACTCAAGACATGATGGTAAGGAGGGTCTTGTCCATGAGGGCATACGATGTAAAAATGTGGTTTGATTTTACAACTGATCTGTTAGATTAACATAATTAACTAACAATGATATGCCGGATGTATGCTTCTCCCTGCTGCCCCCATCCACCTCCAGAGGGGCTGATAAGGATACTTGGGTTTTCCTCAGCAGTTTTAACATCTATATATCATCAGAGCCTGGCTTTTCAGCATGCATGCTCCTGCTGTCAGTTTTAGTTCTCTCAGATGCCAGTGGCAGGCTTTTTTGGGAGCCACACACAAAAACAGTTCCAAAGCAGTGGTGGCTCCATCTCTTTTTTTCTCAGTGAAGCTCACAGCATATGAGCAGCATGCTAAGCCTAAAGGTAAAGTTGAGGTGCCCTTATTACCTATAACAAACAGCTTAGCACACTTCTATACTCCACATTACTGCTCATCACTGCCCTGATCACATAGCTATCCTGAACTGTCCTGTAGTCAAGAACAGTAGTCCAGCTGTCATATGTCCTTGCAAAATAGAGAGTGCTTTGGAAGGCAAAACTTGTCATGTGTAATAAGGGCACTTTTAAAAAGTGGAAAATCTATTAGCCTTTATGATTCCACACTGCTGAAAAGGTTTTAAGTAACAAGATGTGACAGTGTTTCTTTAACTACCATTTTCCTCTGCAGCATAATGCTTGGTTTAAAATGCTGGGTGCCCTTGCTGACCATGCAGAATTCATTCCATTTTGCACAAAGAATCAATATTTGCCCATGCTACAAGTATTGAAGGAATTTTGTCACGTGGAGTTCAGATCTAATCTACTTTTTTAAAGCTTTACTCCAAACAGCTAAATACACAGATTAAAACACATATGTATGAAAGATGTTTACTTGCCAACATTTAGGTAGGCAGGAGACCTGATTTTCCTCTTCTGCAGTTAAATAACACTTACAGGTTTTGTTCCTCGCCCAGCCTGTGACTGGACAGTGAAACGAAAAGCAGCAGACTGATATGTTTATCTCTCTCTCACTCTGCTCCCTTCTCCTTTCAGCATGCTCCTCGCTAGCACATAAGCCACAGAACAATTTATTGGATTTATGTGCCGATTCTATTCTTTCAGTCTCTGCAAGGGACTGATACCAAGTCAAATTCAGGTCCTTTCACTGCTTACATTTATTATACACATTTAAATGAATGGTGTATCAATGAATGCAAAGCTGCATTCATTTGTGTAATTTTTTGTATTTGTAAATGAAGTGGACTAATTGCAAAAAAATAAAGGCTTTGAAAAATGAGCAGGGCACAGGATACTACTACTACTAGCATACCACCCGAACAGCAGCCATTGGTTCAGCCATGAATCATCACTATCCCTGCCCTCTGTAATCAAAGAGCACATTACAAAGCACAGCTTTTTTTTTTTTTTTTTACATGTGCATCATTACTACCTTGTAGTCAAATCGGCTTAATGTAAAAGAAAAAATTGGACAATATAGTGGACAATATTGTGTGGGCATAGCCGATAGCTGCTAGATTCTGGCTCTTATTTTTCCAGTGTAGCATTAAAAAAAGAAAAACAATCTTATTCAGACTTCAATGGGCTTTAATATTTGTTCGTGAGATTGATTTCTCTCATGGCAACTTTTATTATCTTCTTTATTTTTATTAGTAACAATACAGGTAAGATGGCATGGTAAACCAAAGGTAGCTATAATTAAACTACCAGGAATCTCCAGAAATATCACTAGATGATCACAGCAGCTTGTGCACAGTACCTTGCATGAAGGACTAAATCAGCTTGCAGTAGTATTTTCTTACAAGTTGTAAACTTTCCCTGTGCAATAACAAGCCACTCCAACTGCCAGAGGCTCTTGAATGCATTTTTAAGATTCAATTCCTAGGTTTAGTGTCACTTTAACATGTCAGTTTTCCGGAATTGTTTTAAAGAGCCTAGTGTTTTAAACAGATTGTGCCTTCATTTCAGTTCTATAATGTGAACTTTTTTTTTAGAAAGAATTATCTTTTCTACACATTCATAAATCACACTTCTGAATGGAGTAAAATGAATGTCTCTTGTTGTATCTGCTCATGCTTGTAGATAAGGAGAAAAGCTCTTCAGCCATGCTGTGTGTAATGTGCTCAGCATCTTAATATAATGTTCAATTGGTCCTTTAAAAACGTTTTGACCTTAATTTGAACTGTAACTGAAGGTGATGGTGAAAGAATGGTGCAACTTGGAATATTTGCTTTATTTATTCAAATGGTCAGAAAGACATGTTTGTCTAATAGGACAACCATCATGTGCACTAATGTCTTAAAGGAGAACTATGAGGTGAGTGCTTTTCACTTACCTCAAAGTTCTAGCCGACATGTGACAATAAGACTGTCACAGGTCGGCTTAGTAGATCGAGGGGTGAGCGAACACACACCGGCGTTCGCTCACCTCTCGATCCTGTCACGGCTCTCTGCCGTGACAGGGGAGGGGCGGGGACAGCTGGCTCTGCCTCAAGATAGGCAGAGCCAGCTGTCAGTCACGCAGCTGGGCGAATTCAGACATAATTGACGGGATCCGCTTCAGCTGCGGCGTCTCAGTATACCGCGAGCTACAGCTCGCGGTATACTGAGCCTAGGATGACGGGAGGACGCTAGTTTGTGTCCTCCCGTTACCCTAAGGAGAACTATAGGGAAAAGCCTTAACCCCATAGTTCTCCTTTAACTATTACTGTAAAATGCATAATGACTAATATATTATGCCTAGCCTTTGTATTATTCCAAATGTCAGTATGTCTTTAAGAATGGTTACTTATCCCACCCTTGTGAAAAGTGTATTGTGGAAGCATAATTACTGACAACTAATGTTAGTAAAGTTGGCAAACAAGCTTAACTGTTTGCAATAAAATGTCAATGGCAGCCTCTCTCTCTAATGCTAAAGCACCATGCAATCAGGAAGAAGTGACATTTTTTTTTTAAAAGATGAGTTTATTAGGTGAACATCCGCTTGATAGCACATACTAGCTTTTTACCTTAACTCTGATGGCACCCTTCATAGATTGAGGTCCTGGACTACTTCCTCTCATCATCACCCCATAATCCATTACAGTCATTTTCAGTTTAAGGATGGGCACAGTAGTCTAGTTCTGCCCTCTGACTCCTCCTTTGGGATAAGTAGAGAATGTAGGAAGCTTTTTGGCAGCTTAGAGTCAAACAAAATGTTGATCTTGAGGAAAGGATTTCTGTAATGGAACACTGCATGGGACCAGCATGTGCTTTTTGTCATCTGACATGCATAGTCCATGCACGAATGATTTCATCAGAATCATCTGTATTGTGGGTTTCATCTGTTTTGGGGGTTTTTTTGTTTTGTTTTTAAATATGGATAGCTCAACCAAAATCCAAATTAGTTTTTCCTTCACAAATAGGTTCTATCTTGGTTTTTCTAATACGGTAGTACACACGACACTTCATAATAAGCAGGTAAAGTCCACATACAGATCTTTCAAAAATGTCCTTTCAATCTTTTAACTATTTAAAGGTTTGTTGTGTTCCTTGTATTTTCATAGCTGGATAGAACCAACTCCTTACTAGGTCAAGTTCATCAGCCATATCAATACCTCATTGAGTCTGTGCGCCAGAGGGATATACAAATAGACATGTTGAAGGACCAAGTGTCAAAGCTGGAAAAAGATGTCAGGTAAGCACGTTTGTTTTCAGCTATTAATGTCATAGACTGTAAAATTTATAGGGGAAATAAAGAGGATGTGAAATAACAAAAGCAATGGGTTAAGTCAAGATGAAAGTGGTTTCTTCTGATTTTAAGTGTGTAGAGATAATAGCAAAGAAAAAAAGTAGCCCATAATGTACATCGAATGGGGTGCTGTGGTAATATTGCTTTGACAAACTGATCAGTGAATGGTAAGTAATCTAGCGTACAGAAATACACAATTTAGTTTTATATTACGTACAACTAGTGAAGATTTCCACTTCCAAAATGGCATAATGAGGAAATCTTGGGATTTTTTTTCTTTGGTATTGTTTTTGCAGTATTTGTTAACAATAGTAGCACATATGTTATACCATTGTGGCAGTACTGTATATTTTATATAATGTATATTTTTCTTGAGTAACCTAAAAAGGCTGTTTATCACTCCTCATGCATCTACCCCAGCAGGCCTCCTTCCTAAACTTCCTAATGCTGTAATTCCACCCTCACTGACCTATCCTATTTCTGCCCATTCCACATACCTTCACACTGCAGTAGCTTATGCCTGTCCAATAAGGCATTACATTCCCCATCTGCCCGTTGTCTGTAAAAAATATGGCAGTGGTGTCGTTTTCTTCTGGTCTGTGAGATTAAGGTGCTGGTCCATGCTCAAAATTATGACATGCCATGTTCTGTTCCAAAAAGAAGGCTACCACAAAGAGAAGACAGCCAGGCCCAGAGAACATAAAATATGCGGAAAAGCAATTGTAGGGCCTCATTCACACGAAAAACGGCCGGCACGTACAGCTCTGTGCTGCGTGCACGGCCGTATCGGGCAGCTCCCGGGAAGGACAGTTGCTGCGTGTGATACGCAGCCCTGTCCTTCTCTATGGGACTACGCAGCCATACGCCGCCCTACACTCACCCACCCTGCACGTCCGTGCGGGTGTCCGTACTCGTACGCTGACAGGATGGATCCTGTCTGCGTCTGAGCCGGGACACCAGCACCCATACGGACCTGCACTTGGGGTAAACGTAAGGCGGCGTACGGCCGCTTAGTCTCATAGAGAAGGACAGGGGCTGCGTACTAATCACACGCAGCACCTGTACTTACTGGGAGCTGCCCGATATGGCCGTGCACGCAGCACGGAGCTGTACGTGCCATCCGTTTCTCGTGTGAATGAGGCCTAAAAAGCACTGGCTTAATACGTGGGCATTGCACGGTATGCAGGCATTAAAGTGTGGAATAAGTGAAGGTACTGAAACCTTGCTAGCTAGATATATGCAAAAACCGCTGAGGGTTTAATAACCTTTTAAAACCCCCACCCTCTTTTGCTTACACATTATAATATCAGCTGAGGTTAGGTTGATGTGAGTTTAAGTTTGATAGGCACAACTATATTTTTATTATGAATTATGTGGTGTTGATGTTTTTTGTTCTATAATGTTTTCTCTTGTCCCTTAAAGTAGCCCTGCATTTTGCAAATGCCAAGCAGGCTCACTTATAGCACCCTACTTCCCTCCCCTACTATCCTTTTTTCCCCCCCAGAGCAAAGTAAAAACCTTAGACAGGTCCGAGGACGCTCCTCACAACCCCTCATGACAGCGATTAGCCACTCAGTCACCCAACACTGTATCATGGAAGGAAGGAGAGAGTGTCACATACTCGTCATACCTGGAAATACTTGCCTGGGCAAAGTACAGGTTTGCTTCCAGTTTCTGTAGGCTTCAATGCTAGTGACACCTAACACTCTTAAAACCTAATGTACTAGAAGTGCCATGGTAAGATTCAAACAAAAGGAGAACATTTAGTACTTTCTTAGATACTGACTTGAATAAGTATGTAGATCAGAAGATTTGACTTAACTCCAACTCACCCTGCTGCATATGATTTAGAAGTAGTTGAAGCCATGGACAGCCAGGTAACCAGCACTTTGAAAAGGCAGTCAGCAATGACAGCATACAGGTTTCCTTTAGCATCACTTTATGAAATATTTTTAAATCCTCCTTATTGACACAAGCCTGTTGCTCATTTTACTTGGTGTAGCCATCTTCTAAATGAGGAGAGCCATTTTATTGATTGAAGACTAATGTACTTTAGTGGCATTTCACATTCATAATGATATGATTAGCATTATTCACATTTGTTTAGCTCACATAATGGCTGCTGAGATTGGCCTTGGCTCTGTGCTCAATTCTTGTACTTCAATACAGTTCCAGCTGTCTGCCCTTACAGGTGCTTATCCAGCTACTAGCAGAGTGATGGGATTATCTTTTAGTTCATTAATGTGTGTTTTATCCACAGTTAATAAGAACTTGGTTGCCAATATTGTGTTCTGTTTATTTAACTTTCTGGTTATTCATCCTGGCTGCATTTGGCGTGTTTGGAAGACATGTCATTGTTCTTCACCATTCATCAAATTGTATAAACGAAATAAAGCTTTCTCGGTTTTGCTGCCCAATAAGCTTCATAAGACTGCAATCTAAATTGAAGCCAAAAGTGCATAGCAACAAAAACATTTTCATGAATGAACTTCCTTTTGCAGCATAATATTTTAAGCCCTTAAAGGCTGGATTCACACATGTGTGTGGCACATTAACACATGGGTATATGTGCATTTTAGTGTGCTGATATTCATTTTAAATGGCACCCCAATGCACAATACAGTACACATGCAATAATGCAACATGCCTAAAAGCACCAAAATGCACGTGTACATTAATGCATGCATTAGTGAAGAGTGCAGATCTATGCGATGATTGGCAGTGCATTTTCAAACCAAGGCATAGAAGTGGGGGCTAACTTTCACAAAGGTGGACTCATGTAGCAGAGCCCTAAGTGTTTAAGTCTTGCCTTCGCTTTGGCTGACAGAATGCATAAAGGGATACTATAATAGTTTGGGGACAGTTCTATTACATTTTTACTGGCGAGATCACCTGGTGAAAAGTAAAGTCTGCTGTACTTGCCTGCCTTCCAGCAATGTAACATCCACTAGCTCCCTTATCACTACGGACATTTTCATCCTGCCTTCTTCTTGATTGGCCAGCCCAGGACGACGTAACTCCCCGCACATGCGTATGGGAATTATGTCATTTCGGCACTCAGGGCATGCCAAAATTGTACACTGAGCTGGTCATGCACATGCCTACGTTTATCAGGAACATTGCTCGCAGACAGAAGAAGAGCTTTTATTGCAAAAGAGAAATATAGGGTCTCTTCTACAATTAAAGGAGAACTATGGGGTTAAGGCTTTTCCCCATAGTTCCCCTTAGGGTAACGTGAGAACACAAACTAGCGTCCTCCCGTCACCCTAGGCTCAGTATACCGCGAGCTGTAGCTCGCAGTATACTGAGATGCCGCAGCTGAAGCGGATCCCGACAATTGTGCCGGGATCCGCCCAGCTCTGTGACTTCACCTTCACCCATCCCCTCACCTCTCAGCATAAACTTTTATGTTGCTGTGTACCTATATGTCCCAAGAACTGGACTAAATGCTAAATAAGTATGCACCGACCTAAGTATATGTAACAATATGTTACTGCTACTTCATGTATGTGATTATTGTTACTGTTGTAGAACATTACATGTATACTAATAAGGGTGCCATGATTAATAGCAGTATGTGGCTTATGGTATACTTTTTGTGTGTGTAAAATATGACCTAACATTTGCTTTATTAGTGATATTTAGCAGTACTTTGTCATTCCTTTAGTGCCTAACTTAACTAATGTTTGCATTTCTGAAGCTGAAACTACAGTATTGTTTTCAAGGCAAGCAGATTTCGTCAGATAGTATATGCTGCTGTCTTAACAAACCATTGCATTGGTTAGGTACTATAGGATTTTAGATACATCTGTCTTACGTAGGAGTGTCTAAATGAATAGTCACTAATGAAGCGTTATCTTCTAGAGTCTCCTAAATACATTTTTTTTGTGAACACAAATATATGTATCACATTTATGATCAAAGATTGTTCTCAGCAACAGACACTGAATGTTTGGCGCTTTTCCCAGAAACTTAATCTTGGCAAGAAAGAACCAAATATTCCAATAATGGATAGGGAGGCTGAAAGGTACTTAGGGAAGCCTAAAGGGTATGTAAAGTTTACTCCTACATTGTAAAATGGTTGCATTTTGGTGTTAAAAAAATCTTTCTCTTATAAATAAACAATAATATACTTCTATAAGCTGCATATTTAAAGTGAACCTGAACTAAAAAATTGAAGATGTGCTATGTTATGGGAAACATGTACAAATGTCAATTGTGCTTGAGCAGTACCCAGAAAAATCTCCCTTCTGAATCCCTCCTGGAAAATAGCAGTACACTTCTGTACCTAAAGCCTCATAGCCTGTACCTAAAGCCTGTATATCTGTAGTGGAGGTGCATTGCCTCCACGGCCCTTTTTAAAATGAATGTGCTGCAAAACACCTCAATACACAAACATTTCATGCAGACTGCATTTTTTGTAGTGCACTGCACAGCATGCACTGTGGTGTGTTACAGTGCTTTGCAGCAATACACATGTGTAAATGGGGCCTTAAAAGTTGTATGATTTGTTAAATATTGGAAACCATTGGAAACATTTTGTTATATCTGTTTGATCAATAAAAAAAACCAACTGATGTTGATGTGAGAAATTCAGAACTGTCCTGTGTTTTCTCAAACAGCACTCATAGTTCTCATCTTGGACTACAGAATGATTAGCCTTTATGTTGTAAAGATCTGAGAGCGTAAGTGGCTGAGTAGTTTAGCAAAGGGCAAATGGGCAGGGCTGACAACACTTAGCCCACAAAAATGCTTTGTGTTTGAGCCGACGGCAGAGTTCCATTTTTGGCAGATCAGAAGGCATTTTTCTTTACTTGCAGAGTCCTTATGTTCATGTATTGCAGGGATGTGCTTTTTTCGGGGTGTTTTGCCTTGACTCTCCAATGGCCAGAGCAGTTTGTTTTTAGTCCTAGTGACTGTGCACATGATTATTACTATTGATTTAA